GCTAGTTGCGTCATTTTGTCCGCACCCAATTGAAGTGCCAAAGCATGTTGCGATATTTCAAAAAAAATGACATTAGAAAGGAGGCCAAGCTAAAGCCAACCCACCCATTTGAACATTTGTCAAAGAGCTGTAACTCTGAAAGCATTAAAAGAGCTATTGATTTCTTTGATATTCTTTGAACTCATGTTTATAATTTGATTCAATTGCGGACAATATTTTACAGAATTTTTATCATTTTCCTTCCTAAAACAAGAAAAATGAGAAACATTTTCAAACAGGATAGTCTCGGATATGAAAGGTCTGTAAAGCCAAAGCCCGGAAAAGGGAATGAGGCACGATCGATTCCAAGGACCAGATTGGCAGACAAAGCACGAGACTCCATCCAAGGAATAACACATAATTCATTCATGTTGCATGCATATTAGACATACTTAGGTGCATCACAGTCATCATTTTAGCATACATAATTTTGCAGCTTTCAGAGTCAAGCTTCGACTTCAGGATGAAGGTTACTCGACTTGCAAGCACCTTTAAAGAACGTTGGTGTAAATCAGCAGCAAGAAGCTACACCTCAACCGACTTTACATAACTACAGATCTCAGAACCAATTTCAGATGGGTTCGAGAACCAATTCAGATCAAATCTAGTTCGGTTCAAACTCACCATGAGCAACATGTTTTCAGTTAACACTTTCAAGCCAGATTTCAATTCCATGACGGAAGATATCCGGCTGTCAGAATTTATCAGTAGGTTTTCCCAGACCAGCTTAGGGGAACCACCGGAAGAATCATGACCGTTTTCGACCCGTAAAGGGAATCCATTTTTAAACAAACTATTTGCAGCTTAGCTCAAGGCCAGAAGGGCTACCTGCCACCAAGACCTTCGAGTTCGACTACGCTCAGCTCCAAGGCACATCATTTGCAGAATAGCTTAAGTCGAGAAGGGTTATCTGCCAAAGACCCTTAAGTTCGATTACACTCAGCTTCAAGGGCATAACATTTACAGCATAACTCAAGGCTAGAAGGGTTATCTGTGACCAAAAGACCTTTGAGTTCGACTACGCTCAGCTCAACGGCACATCATTTCCAGTATAGCTTAAGTCGAGAAGGGCTATCTGCCAAAGACCCCCGAGTTCGATTACACTCAGCTTTGAGGGCACATCATTTGTAGCATAACTTAAGTCGAGAAGGGTTATCTGCCAACAAAAGACCTTCGAGTTCGACTATGCTCAGCTCCAAGGCATATCATTTGCAGCACAACTTAAGTCTAGAAGGGTTGTCTGCCAACAAAAGACCTTTGAGTTCGACTACGCTCAGCTCAACGGCATATCATTTCCAGTATAGCTTAAGTCGAGAAGGGCTATCTGCCAAAGACCCCCGAGTTCGATTACACTCAGCTTCTAGGGCACATCATTTGCAGCGTAACTCAAGGCTAGAAGGGTTATCTGTGACCAAAAGACCTTTGAGTTCGACTACGCTCAGCTCAACGGCACATCATTTGCAGCATAGCTTAAGTCGAGAAGGGCTATCTGCCAAAGACCCCTGGGTTCGATTACACTCAACTTCGGGGTCATATCATTTACAACATAGCTCAAGGCAAGAAGGGCTATTTGTCAATAAAATTGTCGAGTTCGACTCTATTCAGCTCGATGATACCTCAATCACACTACTGTCCGGCTGCAATCAAGGTTTTCAAGTCGAGAAGAAGACCTGGTTAACCGTGCCTTAGTGACAAGAAACTGTTTTTCGGCAGCATAGTTCAAGCCGAGAAAAGCCATACGTCGACGAGGACCTTTCGAGTTCGGTTTTATTCAGCTCAAGGGCCTGGCAATCACATGGTGGAGTCAAGGAACTACTTTCCAGTCGAATTTTAACCAAGGTCTTTAATCCGAGAAGAAGACCGAGGTTGACTACAATTTGGCAACGAGAGGCCACGTTCCGATTCAAATTTCGAACTACGGCTTCAATTTCAAGGTGGACTCGACTTCGCAACGGAGGAGCCATCCGTAACTCAATTTGACAGGGAGTTATTTTTCAACTCTACCGAACGAAAATTTGTGTCTTTTTATCTTTGTCCTATTTTCATTCCACGAAAAAGGACAAAGAGGGGCAGCTGTAGACACTAATTTTCGTCGACATATTTTCCTTTATATGTACATACATATTATATATATATATACATATTTTAAAACTACGTATAATATATAGTTTTTAATAGTTTTTAAAAATATAATGTATAGTTTTTAAAAAAAAACATTTTAAAAAATATATATAATGTATAATTTTTAAAATCATTTTGAAAACTTATATATATATAATTTTTGAAAACATTTTTGAAAGCACATATTATAGTTTTGAAATATTTTGAAAACATTTATATATATATAGTTTTTAAAACGTTTCTGAAAACTTATATAATATTTTTGAAAACATGTTTGAAAACATTATATATATATAGTTTTAAAACATTTTGAAAATAAATATAATATATAGTTTTTAAAACATTTTTGAAAACATATATATTATATAGTTTTTGAAAATATATAAGAAATTTATATATTATATATGTTTTTGAAAATATTTTTATTTATTATTATTATTATTATTATTTTATTTATGTTATTTTATTCCTTATTTTTATGTTTTGTTTGTTGTTCAGGATCCAGGGTCCAAAAATCCAATGTGCAGGTCCAACAGTAGGGCCTGACCCAGCCCAGGAACAAAGTCCAAAGATTAGGGTTTCCACGTTAAGTCCAGCGCCGCATCAGATCCTGGACCGTTGGATCTGACCCAATCCAACGGTCAAGATCAAGGGTTACAGAGGATCGAAAGTCACTGGCCGGCCGAGTATTTCGACGATGTGCAACACCAAAACCGGAACTACTCGGACTGAACCATCCGAGATCACCGAGAACGACCCGGAATATCCGGGATCGACCCCAAAACAGTCGGAAACGGACCCCCATCGGGGCCTATAAATACAACGGAGAGAACCCCCGAGAACTTGGCCAGAACATCGAAAGCCATAGCCACAGTAAACCAAGAACGAACCAAGAGAAACACAATACCCACGACGAACATCACAACACCATCAACACAACAAAATCGACCAACAGTAAGACCGAGGACATCACCAACAAAGTAAACAGAACCCACAGTAAAACAAGGAGCCAGCGTCACCGAAACACAACCATCAACCATATACAGTAAACAAAACCGAGAGACTACAAAAGCATCGAACCCACACACACAAAAACACCAACAACCAAACGCTACGATAAAACCAAGAGAACAAGCAAAACAACGAAACACAAAGACCAAACGCCGAAGAAACCACCGGGAAAGTGAAAGGCCATCAAAGGTAACATTTTCTGGGTAAGAGGTCGTAAGGTTTTTTGTGTATGGTTGGTGTCTGCGTCTGAAAGGAGAGAAGAGGAAGAGGAGAGAACGACCAGATTAGGGAAATAAGGGAGAGTGATAGCCAAAAGCGCATATAAGGGGTATATAAACCCCCCCAAAACGACGCCGTTTAGGTGAGTCTAGGGCATCTCTCGGGTCAACGCATGGGTAAACCGTGTTCTAGGTCCCTGTAAGTTGTACCATTTGTATTTTGGTCACTAGAATAATTTTCAACAGCTTCGATTGGGATTTCTAATTTTATTTTGTTTGTATTTTAGTCATTATTCCGAATTTAGGCTTAATTATTGTTTGGTCCTCCTAACTCTTTACTCTTCGTTTTGCAGCCTTCATTTTTATTTTAATTTAATCCCTTAATTTTGTTTGTTTCGATTTAACCCTATAAATTTTTATTTGATTTTATTTTAATGTAATTATTATTTTTATTATTTAACATTTTTATTAGTATTTTTCTCTCATTTCCCTTAAATTATTTTATTTTTTTTGTTTTTGTTTTTTTTTGTTTTATTTATTTAATATTTTCCTCTTTATTCATTTTTTTTTCTTCATTCTCATTTTTTCCTCCTTTGATTATTATTTTAGTTAATTTTATTATTATTCTTATTCATTTTTTAACATATCTATCTCTTTAAGGATCTTCGTTTCATCCGATCAAAGGTAGTACTTCGAATCTTTTAATTTAAATTTTTCAATTTTCGCAAAAAGACAACGGTAAATTAATTGGTACCGAAAGGGCAGTTCAAGAGTGCTAATCCTTCCTTGGCCGTAACCGACTCCCGAACCCGACATATTTTGGTACAACGTAGATCAGGTAAGATGGTGTCCGATCTACCTAAATTCGTTTTAAAATGATCGGTGGCGACTCCTAACCATTTATTCAAGTCGAAACCCAATTCCGGGGCCCAACCGAAAGACGGCTACGACAAGCTGCAACACTTTGCATCACACGTTCGGCTCGACTTATTCCTAAGATGAGACAGGTAATCTATATATTAACAATCCTGTTAAATTACAATTACATTTTTGCATTGATCCTTCAACTTGTGCAGATACTTGAGCTCTTAAAATGGGAAAAGGCAGTTGAAAAATGGGGAGAGACGGACGAAGAGAACACAGAAAGCCAAGAACATCATAACGACGATGAAATTTATCCGAGCTTGAGGCCGGAGTTACATTCAAGTGTTACAATGCTTGATGTTGATGATGATTCTACATCATTTCGTAGCATGGAGCAAAGCAGTAGCTTCTCGACCGAAGAATATTTAAAAGAAAGAAGGAGCCGATCATCAAGCTTCAATTAGATTCTTTTGTTTCTTCTTCTTCTTCTTTTGGTTGGCATCTTGAAGTTTTTAAACACGATGTTTGCCTCGATCCCAGTTCTGGGATTAATGTGCGGTCAAGAATGAAAGAAAAGAGAAAAAAGCAGCACCCCTTGTGAGGTGTACTCTGGAGAATGTTGATTCTTGTGAAAATAATAATATGATTGTCAAAGGGTGTACATAAAGTTTTTGAAAAACCAATTATAGTGAAAAAAATATATCCGAGAATACAAAAAGTAAGGAATAAAGAAACTGCCGTTGTTCGATGGACAGTTTCTTTATGAATTACTCAATGATTCCCATGCTTGTATCCATACACACACTTGCAATCCACCCGGCCCTGATAACTCTCATACACACCTGTTTTCATTTCATACTAAACCGTGCCGGCCTCGGTGAAGATAAGGCTGCTGTTGATGATACTGCCGACTCTAGGAAGTGTAGGGAGAAGACGCCTCTTTTGAGGATGAGGTTGAGATTGAGGGCAGAGAACCTGCTGCTGCTGAAGAGATTACAAGGTCAGGCTGCATTGGAGGCTAAAGTGTTTGCTTGTAGATATTCGAGGAAGAATCGAAGGGGAGATGGGATAGTTTCTCATCAGAAACCAGCAACCGATGTTAACATGATGAATGGCCTTGTGGTGCTTATGTAATGAATCCAGCAATGTGCAATGCAACGATCCGATGTATGATATTCATCAGTCAATCTGTTATGCTTTCTTACAATTACAAGTGGTTGTTGATTTTCATATTTTTTTTTCTGCGTTTTAGAATTAACACTTGGAAGTTGAAAGCGATGGATGATTTTGGTTTGCATGGGCGTTTATGGAAACATCACCCTTTTCTTTACCACCATTTTTTCTTCAAACATAAGTAATCAATCATAAATAAAACATATTTATATAGAAGATTTTTTACGAGAAAAATTATGAATAAGTAGAAGATATTTACTATCATAGGAGATAAATAATATGGGAGATGCAAAAAGCACACGTGTACAAGCTAGGGTGTTTAAAACCGGGTATTCGAGATATCGGGTATTTCCAATTTTCTAGTACGAAAAAGTCAGCCCGCGTCCTGGCTCATAACATCCGGGTCATATTTTCGGGTCACGGGTATCCGATTCATATTTTTATTCTTAAATTATATTATTTTTAAAATATATATATATAAATTTAAAATTTAAAATTTAAAATTTAAAGGTCTATAATATATATAATCCATACATAAAGTTAAAAATTTAGATTACAATATTAAAAGAAAATTTATTAAAAATTAAAATAAAGAAAATAATTAAATTTCAAATGTTTGAAGTTAAAACAAATATTTTTTTAAAAAAGATTTAGAATGTTAATGCAAAATAATTTAAGAAATTAAGAACTTAGAATGTTATGATGGTAAAATTAAGAAATTAGAAATTTAGAATGCTAGTGAATTAATTTGAAAATTATGAATAAAAATTTAATATAAAATAAAAATAGAAAAAATTATATAATAATCTGGATAGTCGATCGGCGAGTATCCGGTTAAGCAATATTTTGTGAACCGGGCCTGACCTGAAACTCAAAAAAAATAGCGGGTTTACCGACCAAGAAAATCCGGTATTTTTATTATAAATACTTTGTATTTCTTAATTCGGGTCGGATACTTTTGAACACCTTAATATAAGCTAATTGCATCATATATATATATATATATTTTTTGGGGCGAGTCAAATGAAATTCGAGTCACAATCTTTACCTTAATGCAAATTCTAAAAATATAAAGTTATAAAACAACTAAATTGTATACTCATACAAGCCATCATTCATTAATTCATAAAAAGGGATATAAGATGTCTTTTTCATGTTTTAAAGGGATGAGAATCAATATTCCTTTTACGATCAATATTTTTGGGTAAAGTATACAAACGTTTTTTGATTATAGGATGATACTTTATTGAATCATTCGATTATTAAAGTTACAAAATGATTATTTGATTATAGGATATTGTTTTATTAAGTCCATCGACTATTAAAAGTTAAAAAAGATCACTCGACTATTCATATGTTCTAAATTTGTCCATTTCATTAAAAAAACATGACAATTTGAGTGAACTTAATATGTTGACTAAGATGTGACAAATATGATCCTAGAATCTCAAACGTTATCGTATCATAGTCAACAGTTAATGTCCAACTCATATGTT